ATATATATGATTGGAGCAGAATTGTCTGAAGCGTTTGGTTTCTATAAGCTCTAAAAAGTTGAGTTTTCAATTGAAAAAGAGGTTAAAAAATGCTCTTGTGCCCTTTCATATGATATATTACTCTACATGGGTTATTTATTTTTTGTGAAGGTCAGACCCTGGGTCTTAGAAATGAAGGGTCAAGTTCAAGTGCTCAGTCAGGCTAAGTAAAGCCTAGTATGTTGTTCACAAGTTTGAAGAAGATCCATAAACAGTTGTGGGTAATATGCATTTTTTGATGATTTCCCCACGTGGTGTGACCTTGACCTGATTTCCCCAAAATTAAATCAGCTCGAGCTGTTATTGGTATCTACCATTTTTATCTACCATTTGAAAAAGGCATCCTGAAAACTTTGGACACTAGACTGCTAACAAACATACAGACAATCAAACAGAATCAATTACATGCTTCCTCCCTTCAGGCAAAGAACTACAACATTTCATCCATTTACACATAGCTTCATGAACAGTAATGTTGGTTTTACGGTCCCACACATGCACAATTGTGGTTGGGTTTTTTCCCATCCCAGGTGTGTTCCAGTGCAGTACTCCAAGATCCTGACTGGAAATCACTGGAAGCAGATTATGTGAGCAGTTGAATGTGGGCCGGAATAGAGCGAGGATCGAATCAGAACAGGAGGATGGGGAAAAAATGAATTTAAAAAAATAGTATGAAAAACACAGTCAACACTTTTCATTATTTTAACCCTTTTTTCACTTCAGCTCTTTCTGTGTTTGAACATCGATCTTCCCCGTGGGCTGACAGACCATCAATACTACAAGCAAGACTGGCACACAGACCTATTATACTTTGGTATACTGCCTCCATCTGGCAACAGAGCTCATTGCAGGGAGAGACAGGCCATCCCCGAATTGGAGTGGACAGTGAACATGCTTGACCATAAAAGAAGCTTTACTCCACACACTCAACTTACCAGTGACTCTCAGGGTGAGGGTGCTGCTGGTTTCTCCCTCTCTGAACTCGCACCAGTAATCTCCACTGTCCTGTGTTAAGATATAGGTGATCTTGCAGGCAGAAGCAGTTGCTTGCCCCCACCCATCTCCACACGGAGTCATTCGCTTTTTACTAGTGTTTCTCCTCAGAGTCCATCCAGCAGAGCTGTCGTCCTCCACGCAGCGCAGAGACAGAAAGTCTCCTTCAAACAGCTGGAGGCTGCTGGGACTCACAGTCAGACGAGCTGTGAGGGCTAAAGTGAAAAACAAGGAATCATTTTGATACCAAAGACCATCTGGCACTTTTTTTTAAATCAGTCTTCTCACATAAGTGAGACACTTGTGCAACTTAGGTGAGATGAAGCCCGGAGAATAAAAGAGCAGACTAACATGCAAGTTTCTCACATGATGGTTTGAAGAGGATTCATGACGAAAATATTCAAATCTAAATCTAAATCTGTAACCCATGTGATGTGTAATCACTATCTGTTTATACACCTCTGTCCATTTATTTCCATTCCTTCACCCCTAACCTGTGGCAGCAGATGGCTGCTCCACCCTGAGCCTGGATCAGTCTGAAGCTTTTTCCTGTTAAAAGGGAGTTTTTCCTTCCCACTATCGCCAAGTGCTTGTTCAGAGGGGATCGTCTGACTGTTGGGTGTTTTTTTTCTAACACTGTACGGTCTGTATCCTACAACACGAAGCCTCTTGTGGCAACTGCTGTTGTGATTTGGCGCCATATTAATACAAAAGATGATTTATCTCAGTTCATACACCAACATGAGTCTGTATCAAAACACAGGACTACAATTACAAATCTTAGAAATAGATTTGTTGTAATTTGTTGTACTGCTGTCAGTGTGGTAAAAGCACAGCACTAAAAAAAAACAACTAAAACAAAAAGACTACTTCTTTCTGCTGCTCTCTGTACTTGTCTATACAGCTATCCCTAACATCCTCCCTCTGAAACCCTCTGCTTGTCCTCCTTCCCTCCACCCATCAGTCTTTTCTGTGGTCTTCCTCTTTTCCTCCTGCCTGGCAGCTCCATATTTATGATTCTTTGTCCTGTATATCCATTATCTCTCCTCTGCATATGCACAAAACACCTCAACCTTATATTTTTCAGTGCGACCAGTTAGAAAAGATGCAAAATAAAGAAAATAAAAGTAAAATGAAGATGTACTGATCTATCAATACGAATGGAAACATATGGACTCCTCTACATGTAGTAGCAGGTTGTATGCAACACAACGGTGTGCGTGTATGTTTTATTTGTCTTGCTCTAGGCTCGTAGTGGAAGAAATTGACCGCATGCACAAACACACAAACAGCGCTCTGTTTCCTCCTCTGTGAGTGTTTTCACCCGTGGTGGGGCTAACACAGTGGGCAGGGAGTGAGTTTGTTGTTGTTACACATCAGAAACACCACTAATGGTTTCTGTGCTACATTTTTTCCACTGAATAAACAACAAACCTTAGACAACAACAACAAAAGGCCCGCTGCTGTCGAGAGCTCATAGGTTTAGACTAAGCTTGTGAACAACCTGTTCTCATCCTCATTTCGTGTTTGTGGAAGCAGCTGGTGAGGCTCATGTATGCACATGGATTAGTTTGTTGTCTGTTCCCAGACAAACATCAGCGAGACGGGTCTGTCTCTCCCAACTCGTCTTTACACTGTTAGCACCATCCTTTACTAACCTGTGAGAGATAAAAGTCAAACACTGAAACTTATTTAGGTCACCTACACAAATCCATTAATTACCTTCCTTTATGATAGACCATTATCTCTGTATCCTCAACACCATCAGTCAGGCCACGGACTTCACAGAGATCACCATCATCTCCTGAATTAAGTCGCTTAATTAACTCCTTGAGTCGCCTCAAGGTGCTTTATATTATAAGGTAGACCCTACAGTAATACATGCAGCTAAAAACTAACCAATCATAGGAATTACAGAAACAAAAACATGCAGGATCTCTGATATGTGCCACAAACCAATTATATTACATATTAAAAAACAAACTTCCATCACTTCCTTATAAACTTTTGTCTTTTTAGTGCTTTACTCACCACAAATCAGAATCAAAATCAGGAGGAATCTGAAAGAATCCATGAATGACGAGTGCAGAGTGACTGCAGAAGGAAACCAGCTTTACATTCGACACTGACAAGTGTTTATACAAGGAGGCAGCGTCATTTAAAGGAAGGGTTTGTGGTTCTCAGAATCGAGACCAGAAGCAGTCAAGGAGATCACACGCTTATTCAAAAGTAAATAAATGTAAAGATCCTTGTGACCAGTGTGATTATTTAACTAGATTAACATCTCTGGCCTCAAAACAGAGCACACATGCACCGTCACAGCACGACACAGAGCATAAAGCAGGAGTATCACAGGATGTCAAAATAAAGCTGCTCGATGTTCCAACAGTTCCCTTATCTTTTATTGACATAAGACATTTGAAGTGTGTCATATAAAATGTAAGGAATGTGAAATAAGATATAAGGAACATGAGATATAATATAGTAGCATAGCACAAACATCTGATAATACTACAAAATCATTAGGACTTATATTGTATTATATTGTAAACACTGAGAACAGATATAAAACATCAGAAATATGATATTTAAAAAAAGAATAGAAAAAAATGAGAACAAGCTCTGTATATCAGTAAAGTTTATTTCATTCAAACGAGCCATGTGTCCATATAATCAAGGCTGTTGTACTGATATTTACACTGTGCTTGTAGAGTCAAAGCACATATTAAAACAAAGATGTAGGACTGCTTTATTCCATTTGAGCGAATACTGTAAAATTAATCTCTAAAATATCTAACATCAAAAATCTTAATCACCTCATACTACCATGTCACTCCATCCCAAACTGCAGGCTTACCTGCTGGGAGGCAGAGCCTTCAGTTTTCAGGCCCCTCTTCTGTGGAACCAGCTTCCAGTTTGGATTCAGGAGACAGACACTATCTCTACTTTTAAGATTAGGCTTAAAACTTTCCGTTTTGCTAAAGCATATAGTTAGGGCTGGACCAGGTGACCCTGAATCCTCCCTTAGTTATGCTGCAATAGACGTAGGCTGCCGGGGGGTTCCCATGATGCATTGTGTTTTTCCTTTCCAGTCACCTTTCTCACTCACTATGTGTTAATAGACCTCTCTGCACCGTCGCAGCAGATGACCCCGCCCCTCTCTGAGCCTGGTTCTACCGGAGGTTTCTTCCTGTTAAAAGGGAGTTTTTCCTTCTCACTTTCACCAAAGTGCTTTCTCAGAGGGGATCATATGATTGTTGGGTTATTGTATTATTGCAGGGTCTACCTTACAATATAAAGCACCTTGAGGCGATTGTTGTTGTGATTTGGCACTGTTTTCCTCCTTCACCCACAGAAACTCACATTTCTTTACTTCAACTGCTGCACATCGTTGTACTTCTGCTTGATGAACTCATTTGCTTCTATTTTAGAAAGTTTGGCGCTCAAAGTGCACATTTAAAAAGCATATTTGCTTTTTTCTGTTGCCGTTGTACCATAAAAGTACACACCAGTAATATAAATTCAACACAATAAGACTTTTAATGGAAAAGCTAAACCAGACCTACAAAAAATGTAGTGCATGGAAGAGACCAAAAACATCAGCAACATATGGTCTCATCTGTACGTCAGTGTGAGTGTTTTTTTTACTGTGTGTGCATTTTGCTTGTTTTGCTATGAGCTGAAGATGTCCACGCAGCCGTCTGTTTCCTCCTCCGTGTGTTTACATCTCTCACAGTGAGAAACGGGAGACGGGCTTTGAGCTGTTTATCCAGTCAGACAAGCCTGACGTCTGACTGGAAATGGAGGGATTTCTCAATTGGCTGAGCATAAACTAAAAACATTGTCTAAGAAACAGTTCACCTTTGAGTGGCCTGAGCATCAGCGTCTGAAATAACTTTTTATCTGTGAGCTGTCAAGATAGATCAATAGCTAGGTAGGTGCCACAGGTGCCTGCTGAGGGTCTTATACTTTACTATGCAGGGATTTAATAAAACATTAAGTAAAAGTAACTTTAACATTGTGTAAAATTAGAATAATATGTATACATTAAATCTAAGAAAAACAGCTGAAAGGATACAATAATGTAATACAATATTTAAGGTAAATAGTTTGATATAATAGTAAAACACAGATGAGATTGGGACATTATGGCTGGCAGGTGTCACTTGTCACAGAATGAAGAGTTGTTATGCAGCTTCATAGAGAATGGTAGGAAGGTGTTCTTTATGGTAGCGAGGTTAAATCAGTCTGAGGGAGAAGAAGCTCTGCTGCCTCCGCAGTGTGGAGTGGAGCGGGTGGGATCAGTTGTCCACTTCAGTTTAGTGACCTCTGACCCTCAATGACTCAAACGCCTCTAAATTGTGACCAATGTCGCTTCGAACCTTTTGATCCCTTTGCTGATCCAGCTGGCTTCTCTGGCTCTGATACTCCCCCCCCCCCCGCAGACAGCAGAGCAAACAGCAGTCGCTGCTACAGACTAGTAGATCTCAAAGGGTTGCATTTTTTCAAAGCAGCTATTGGTGCTCATTCATGCACACGGTGCGCTTTGTTATCTAAGCCCTTCCCTGTAGGTTATAACATCAGTGAGATGGCTCTGTCCCAACTTGTGTTGTATCACTGAGCAGATTCACTGCTGGGAAGCATTTAAAAGAAAAAATAGCAAAAACTTATTTTCTAAACTTAACTGTTAAAAGAAAAAGAAAAACAGAAGAAAGAGGAGAAAATTAAGAACAAAGAGACACCCCAGGGTCTGACTAACCTGCAGTTTGTGCCACCACCACCTCCTCTTTTTTACCCTAATGCAGTGTTTATGGATCACCACTGGCACAGCTGGTGAATCGGGGCACAAACACACAGAGAACCACAAATATACTGGAGAGTAAAACCACTTAATCCTCAAACATTAGTCTCAAAAACGTTAGAAATGTGTATCATATGATCCATAAACATAAAATAAGATGTTCAAATGTGCAAAATGGAGACTAATTTCACTCCATAGTAAACACCAACACACCAACATACAGAAATAAAGACAACAGATTAGTCAGAGTCAGGTCTTTTCAGTAGATCACTTTTAAATGTTTAGACAACTCTCTCACTGAACAAAAACACACATATCAAATGTTTTTTAAATAGTTTTCCAAAACCTGTACAGATGGCTCTTGTTTCGAATACAGATGAATATATATATTCATTGACTGTCAACCCGAGAGCTGACATTCAGTTGACATTCAGACGAGCTGTAAGGGCTGAAATCAAACATTAGAACATGTAGGCAGATGTAGAACAACGATTAGTATAGATGATTATTACGAGGTGTTGAAGAGCAGTCAGTGTAACAATAAACATTTGCACAAAAAAGCTGGTCAGCTGCTGTTGGTGTCAAAATATTACAAATATAAGTATAAAAAATGCTGCTCTAGTCAATATGATCAATTGCAGTAAAAGGTTGGAGATGTTACCAGCAGGGGGCAGAGAGGGGATATTTGAGTGCATACATTAAGTTATGTAATGCTAGTCTCTGCGTGTGAATACATTATACAGAACAATGTAGGTTAAAACGCATAAAAGGGGAAGAAGTGCAGAGACAGCAGACCTGAGATGAATTTCCTGACATCATTCAGATGAAAGAGGAGAGACCACTGAGTGTTCACAGGGTTAGTTTCACGGGGATTACTCATATATACACTAACCTCAGCATCTGAAACACTGAAAATATTTAATATGAACGTCCAGTGAGAAACTTTGGAGGTGGAGTAAAACACTTCAACTTGAATATCCTCAAACATTTCCTGCCTGGAACTGAACCTGAACGCAGTTAAAAACCTACTTCTTACAGGGCTTGTAGTCTGAAACACGCTTGATCTCTGATATATAATATAATATATTAAACGTGCTGGGAGAAGGTCCCTGGACAGACCCAGGACACGTTGGAGAGATTATATCTCTTGGCTGGCCTGGGAACACCTTGATGTTCCCCCCGACAAGCTGGAGGAGGTGGCCGGGCAGAGGGAGGTCTGGGCTTCTCTGCTTAGGATGCTGCCCTTGCATCCTAGGTCATGGGAAAAAATGGATAAACACAGATGCATGGATTCACTGCTTCAATCACCTGCAGAGCCAGAAATCAGAGCCAAAATGCATGTGAGGGAATCGATGAATGACAGCGGCAGACAGAAGTGGCTGCAGTCTGTCTTAAAGCAAGTTTTCACTCAGCTGTCTCCTTAATGAAGGGAGGGAGTGACTCCTGTTACTTAAAGATAGATTTTACAAAGCAGAGAGGAAGCACTTCTTCACCTGTGTGAACACTGGATTAGATCACTGGGAGCAGTTGTTATGGAAGTTAAACCCTATAATCCTATAAGACATCTGCAAGCAACAAAATCACACTTAAAACCAACACAATGACACCGAGACATGATTTGAAATTGTGAAATAAATAAATGTTTACCCAACATGAGTGACCATGCTACCTTCACTATATTAGAGTTCAAACAGCTGTGTGTGCTGTCCAAAATTTTCTCAGTAATCACTATTAACATATTATTTATTGAAAATAATGATACTGATTAATCAGACACAAGTCTGAGGAGCAGGTGTCTCTCACATGCATCATACAGCAAGGGTGCAGTATACACAGCTGTCACTGCTTATTGAACAAAAACACACTTATCAAATGTTTAAATGTTCTTTTTTATTCTAGTATACTTCCAAACATGTGACACAAACAGCTGGTGTTTAATATACAGATGACTCGATATTGAAGCAAATCATTTGAACTTTTCTGGAGGAGCCTCGTTATCGGTCTTCAGGATATCCACGAACAGCATCAGGATGCAGGTCCAGATGTTTCTGCTGTGATGTGAAAATGCTCTCACTTTCCTCGCAGGTTAAATATGTGGTGGTTAGCACTGTTGCCTCACAGAAGGAAGGTCGTGCATTTAACTTCACCATCATGCCACGGCCTCTCTGTGTGGAGTTTGCATGTGTCTGTGTGGGTTCTCTCTGGGCACTCTAGCGCCCTCCCCTGGTCTAAAGACATGCATTTAGTGGAGTTAGGTCAACTGGTGAATCTAAATTACCCATAGGTGTAAATAGTTGTCTGTCTCTGTGTTGGCATTGTGACAGACTGGCAAGGGTGTACCCCGCCTCCCACCCTGGTGGCTGGGATAGGCTGCAGCCATCCTTACAATCCTGACAAGGATGAGTGGAAGAGAATGGATGGATGGATTAAAATATGTTTATGTGAGATTTAATTCATCTGAATTTTCCGTTTATGAAGATTAACTTTGATCTTGGTGAAACAGATTTGCCCTGGAAAAAATGAAACGCTGGAAGAAACCTGAGAGCTGAGGGTGGGGGATCCCCATGGTGTTGGTTTTGCACACAGAAAAGCACAGGCGTCGAACTCCAGGAGTCGAGGGCTGATGTCTTGCAGGTTTTGGATCTCACCCTGGGTTAACACACCTGATTCAAAGGATTAGTTCATTACTAGGCCTGTGGGGAACTTGAAGACTGTGTTGGATCAAGGACACATCTAAAACGTGCAGGACACTGGTCCTCGAGCCCTGGGGTTGCAGAGCCAGAGGAGTTCCCCACCCCTGCAGAAAACAGTCATAGAGCAGGGGTGGGGAACTCCAGTGTGTTTTGAGGGCTTTATGTGATATATTTAGGCAAAGTTTGCTTTTAACCTGATAAATGGAGGTTTTGTTGGAAGTGGCTGTGTAGTTGTGAACTTGTGTAGAAAGTTTTAGGAGACATCATTTTAAGAAACGAGTCTCTGCAATCGAGAGAAACAGTAATAATAGTCATTGATAAAAATGTCCTCATAGACGGTGAAAATGCATGATGACACTGGTGATGTTGTCTCATCCAGCTCCTTCTTGTTTATCTGAAACAAACCACAATTTTTTTAAAATTATTTAAGAAATTAAATATTGAAGAAAATTTTGAACTGTGGTAAATATAAAGTTTAAAACGACGTAAAATCTGGAAGTCTGAATCTTACCTTTGAGTTTCCTGTAATCGTGTCATCTCAGCATCGCAGTACAGGCTGATGCAACAGTCAGCAAGACAGGAAGAAGACCAGGGACGAATGATGCAGAGGACGATGTAAGTGAAAGTCCAGATGTAGGTGGAAGTGTGTATGTAGGGGGAGGTGTGGATGTAGGTGGAGGTGTGGTGGTGTGTTTGTCTAAAATAAAGCAAACACAGTCATTAAGTTGTCGTCACATTGTGAATGTTGAAAGCTGCAGAAACACAGACAGGTGAGTGTGTCACCTGTGACAGTGATCCAGCTGGATGGAGACTCTCCATGACCGCTGATGTCACACTTGTAGAGGCCTTCATCAGACCTGGAAACATGCTGGATGGTCATGTGACCTGTAGGCTGCTTCCTGATGAGGGAGCCATCTTTATAGAAAGCAGCTGGGAGGTTGGAGGGAGTGGTCTTTGTTTTACAGAGCAGAGTGACGTCATCTCCCTCCATCACAGGGAGGACAGGACTCTGCAGGATCACTGATCCACCTCAACACAGAGACAAACTACAGCATTTCATCCATTTACACACAGCTTCATCAACACTAACTCCACACACTCAGCTTACCAGTGACTGTCAGGTTAACCATGTTACTGATGGGACCCTCTCTGGACTCACACCAGTAAACTCCACTGTCCAGTAGAACGATGTGGCTGATGACGCAGGAAGAACCATCTCATCTTCCAAACTCATCTCCACACTGACTCCTTGTTTCTCTGCCTGTGTTTCTCCTCAGAGTCCATCCAGCAGAGCTGTCGTCCTCCTCACAGCTCAGAGACACAAAATCATCTTTAAACAGCTGAGAGCTGCTGGGACTCACAGTCAGACGAGCTGTGGCAGCTGAAATGAAACCATGTGGGCACAAGTCGTTTCAACAGGCTGTAGAAGAGCACTCATTGTAGGAATGAACATCTGCTCAAAAAATCTTAACCTGCAGTAAAACAAACTGAAAATAATCACTAAGCACATTTAATGTAAACTTTAATCCACACTCACCAACAACTTCTCTCCCAGCAGAGATTTAACACAACATTCAATTAGTAATGATATATCTGACGGTAAAGGTGTTAGCTACAGAGGTAAGAGGTAAAGAAAACCTAGAAAGAAATGAACTCTTTATGGCAAAGAACAAAAACAACACAAGTAACATAATGACTCATCTACACGTCAGAACGTGTGTGTTTGTCCACACACATACACAGTTCTGTTTCCTCCCCTCTCTGTTTGTATTTCTGAAGGTGGGCACTGAGAAACTCTGGAGGCGTGCTGCAATCCGCTGATCCAATCAGTCAGTCAGAAACAGTGTTTCATGTTTCCTCTGTTATTTTTATTCCACCGGATGAATGGAAACAAGCCACCATTTGGCTGGTCTGAGCCCACGCCTGCCTACAGATACATCTATCAACTGTATATAAAAGATGGATGTGGAGTACTGTGCAAAAGTCTTGAGTCATCCCTCATTTCTTTATATTTTACTTCCAATTTACTTTCTTAGAATTTATTAAAGTGGTCTTCTGAAAAATGGCTTTCATAGTGTTTCTTTGGACACCTGCTGATTTTCCATTTATTTTCAGTCCAGTCCTTTTACCTGACCATTTTCTTTCAGGTGCTCTTTTTCTTTTTCTTTTTTTTAACCACTTAACACTGATCTATGAATCACTTGAGCATAAAGAGCCACCTGACTTAAGGAATGAATTAATATTGTCCACACTTAAAAGACATTTTAGACAATTTGTTAGCAGCATGTTTAAATTTAATTCTACTAAAAATTCCAAATGTAACAGTTTCATAGACATAAAATAGGACTTTGCAATGACACAGTGTGAAATTGGACCAACGGAGGACAAAAAATGAAGCAGCCTAAAAAAAACTGTTTGCAGGAGATGAACAGTGTCTGAAAATCATATACTTAGTAAATGTGAGCAGTAAAGAAAAGATGCAGAAAAGACCTGATACAGGACCTCAGTGATTCATCTGGCCCTTCAGTTCATCTAAATCAGTAAATCAGCAGAAAAAGCCAAACAGGCTAATAAAGGTCTGAGTTTTCTGTAACTTATGCCACCAACAACACATCTTTAACATCCTAACACCGTCTTTCTTCAAAGCACTGCTATTACAGTTACTTTAACAGTAACAGATACCTGCTATAGTAAACATTCATCCTTTACTCAGACAAACACACCATTAAAAGACTGCCTATATATTGAGTTTTCTCTTTCACCCTTTCATGCATGAATTATGACAACCTCAATCAGGATTTTTTTCACAAGTATTTTTATTCATCTTTAGGCATAAAAACGATTTTTGAACTTTATTTTTTAAACATGTACTTTTCAAAGAGTTTTTCACGTGTTCACTTAGGTGCACAACTGATGTGTATGGAGAAACACATCAGTGTCCACTGCAGTGGTTTATGTGCAAGTATACTATCAACACTGGCACAAATACAAGAAAACAGCCTTTGAATAGCTGTCCACTGTAGTGACCACTATGCATGAAAAGGCTAACCGCTTCACTCACCTGAATACCCAGAAATCAGAGTCAAAATCAGGATGAATATCAGAGAATCCATGAAGGACAGGAGCAAAGATGAGTGGCTGTGGTCCACCGTGACATGAAGGACAATAAAGGTAGACTTAACGCTTTAAAGAACTGAGAGAATGACTTTTGTATTTCAAACAAAGATTTTCAGTTCTGCAGTGCAAGAGGAAGAGAAATTTCTGAGAGCACTTTAAAGATGTAAAGTGTCTAAGATGTAAAGTTCCTCCTAGTCTATGTGCACATTTGACATGTGGAAATCTGAGAGATTAAAGTCAACGTGTCAACTCACAAACGCAACTACAGTTAACTGCAGCCTCACATTCAGCATGCAGAACACAGCAGGAACACCACAGCATGCCAAAATATTACACACATGCTTGATGATCCTCAACATGCTGATTTTTATTCATTTCACTACAACTTGAATGAAAACCGTGAATGATTTTACTTAAAAAAAACAACAACAACAAACACTGCAAATGTTTCACTGCTGACCCTGTCCATCAGACCACCAT